AATGTTTGGCTGTGATAAAGAACACGATTGAGCTTGTAATTATGGGCTCAATACCAGAGTGTGACACCATCACCGAGTACCTCGATAGAATAAAGAGTTAGTTCACTAGCTCTTTAAAGACATATGCTACCCAGCTGATAAAGCAGCTGGTGACAGAGAGGTACTCTGGAAATGGTGGCATAAGAGAGCACATACTAAGGATGAGCAATTTGGCATTCAAGCTAAAACCAATGGATCTGGCTCTCAAGGAAGAGTTCCTTATCCATCTGATTTTTGCTTCCTTGCCTAAGGAATTTAACACTTTTGTTGTCAACTACAACATACAACCCGAGAAGTGGGACTTAGAGAGGCTCATGGCTATGTGTGTGCAAGAGGAGGAGAGAATGAAAGCTGCCAATGGTGGCACTATCAATTATGTGAAAGACAACAAGAAAAAGAATAATAATGTTAACTCCTCAAAGCCAAAGGGAAAGGGTCCCATGCTGCATCAGCCTGAAGAGAACAAGTTCACAGTAGAGAAAGACCAGTGACTCTATTGCAAGAAGACGGGACATTATAAGAAAGATTGTCCCGATTACTTAAAGATGATCATGGCAAAGAAATGTGAGAACATTATTACGTTCATAAATGAACCCCTGTATGTACAGTATTCAAAATCTACTTAGTGGATTGACTTAGGTGCAACTGTTCATGTTGCTAATTCTTTACAGGGATTCCATTCAACGAGGACTACACAAAGAAGAGAAAGACACGTTAAAGTTGCAAATGGAGTCCGAGCAGATGTTGAAGCCGTTGGCGATCTTTCTCTAGAGCTTGCGATGGCTTCAGACTTTTACTTAGAGATGTACTTTATGTTCTCGCTTTATAGAGAAACTTGATTAGTGTTTCATGCTTGGACAATGATGGATATGATTGCCATTTTGAAAATGGCAAATGTAAGATAACATTTAATAATGCATGTGTTGGTCTTGCTATCTTACAAAATGAGCTTTATTTGTTATCACTACGTGATGATGTGAATGTTGTATGCGATGATGGGAACGTTGCGTGCGACAATAAGAATGTATCCTCGTCTATGGATGTAAACAGAAAACGAAAGAGAGCTCACGATGCGTCGTTGAAATTATGGCACTGTCGTTTATGCCATATTTCAAGGGGGAGAATAGAAAGACTAGTTAAGAATGATATTTTTCCTCCATTAGAGCTCTCAGATTTAGAACAATGCAGAGAATACATAAAAGGAAAGTATCTAAAGAAAATTAAGAAAGATGCCAAACGAAGTGCAGGAATTTTACAGATTATTCACACAGACATCTGTGGTCCGTTTCCTGTAAAGAGTGTGGATGGTTATGATTCGTTCATAACATTCACAGATGATTACTCCCATTATGGCTACATTTATCCAATCAAAGAAAGAACAGAAACATTAGATAAATTTAAGATATTTAAGGTAGAAGTTGAAAACCAACACAATTTAAAGATTAAGATAGTCAGGTCCAACCGTGGGGGGGGGAGTACTATGGTCGGCATACCCTATATGGCCAAGTTCCTGGACCTTTTGCAAGGTTCTTATAGGAGAATGGCATAGTAGCCCAGTATTCTACACCAGGCGAACCTCAGCAGAATGGAGTAGCTAAAAGACACAATCGTACCCTGATGGATATGGTGCGCAGTATGATAAGTTACTCCACCTTATCGTTGAGCCTGTGGATGGAGACGTTAAAAACCGCCATTCATATTCTCAATAGAGTACCAAGTAAGTCGGTGCCCAAAACACCGTATGAGTTGTGGACAGGAAGAGTACCCTCACTAAACCACTTACGTGTGTGGGGGAGTCCTGCTGAGGCTGAAGTATTTAACCCAAACATTGGAAAGCTAGATCCCAAAACAGTAAGTTGCCATTTCATTTGCTACCCAGAAAAGTCAAAAGGTTTTCATTTCTACTGTCCAGACAGACATACAAAGTTTATGAAAACAAGACACGTTGTCTTCCTAGACGATGAAATGATGAGGGGGAGCATGGTAGCTCGAGAAATTGACCTTGAAGAGAAGCGGGTGTATGTGCCCACTCCGATGATTCATGAGCTATTTTTCTCACTACCTGCTGTCGCTGCACCGACAGTGCAAGATACTATGGTGCCAGCACCTGTTGTTACTCCGCATGTGGCAACAATGAATGATGATGAGGAACATATTCTTCAGGATCCTGTATAACCTATTGCCACACATGAGGGGGAGCAACAACAGCCTCAAACAAAAGATGTGCCAAATAAAGAGGCCCCTAAAAGGTCTCAAAGAGTTAGAAAATCAGTTATTCCTGTTGACTATGAAGTGTACAACACCTTGGAATTTCAAATGGAGAATGATCCCACCTCATTTGAAGAAGCCATGAAAAGTGATCATTCATCAAAGTGGCTTGAGGCCATGGAAGATGAAATAAAATCTATGAATACCAATAAAGTTTGAGACTTGAAAATAATTCCTAAAGGAGCCAAAATAGTAGGTTGTAAATGGGTCTACAAAAGAAAACTTGACTCTCAAGAGAATATAAAGAGATATAAAGTAAGACTTGTGGCAAAAGGCTTTACGCAAAGAGAAGGGATTGATTACAATGAGACCTTATCTCTAGTATCATGTAAGGATTCCTTCAGAATCATAATGGCATTAGTGGCACATTACGATTTAGAATTACATCAGATGGATGTAAAGACGACATTTCTCAATGGGGACTTAGAGGAAAATGTTTACATAGCACAACCGAAAGATTTTGTCATGGAAGAAAAAGAACGAATGGGATGCCGTATAAAGAAATCCATTTATGGATTAAAACAAGCTTTAAGACAGTGATACTTGAAGTTTGATCAGACAATAAGGAATTTTGGGTTTAAAGAGAATGTTGAGGACAATTGTGTCTATGCAAAGTTTAAGAATGAGAAGTTTATCTTCCTTGTCCTGTATGTGAACGATATCTTACTTGCTAGTAGTGATGTCAGTCTACTACTGGAGACAAAGAAGTTTTTGTCCTCAAAATTTGATATGAAAGATCTTGGTGAAGCCTCTTTCATTTTAGGGATCAAGATTCACCGAGATAGAAGTAAAGGGGTATTAGGACTATCACAAAAGACATACATAGAAAGGATCTTAAAGAAATTCAGTATACACAAATGTAGTTCCTCACTTGCTCCTATAGTCAAGGGCGACAGATATGGGGATTTTCAATGCCCCAGAAACCAATATGAGATCGATCAAATGAAAGCGGTTTCATATGCTTCAGCTGTCGGAAGCTTGCAATATGCTCAAGTATGTACGTGCCCTGACTTGGTATTTGTTATCGGGTTACTTGGCAGATTCCAGAGCAATCATGGAACAGAACACTAAAAATTAGTAAGGAAAGTCTTGCGTTATTTGCAAGGAACGAAAAGCCTCATGATGACGTATAGAAGATCTGATTCACTCCATATAGTGGGATATTCATATTCTGATTATGCGGGAGATGATAGAAAATCCACGTCTGAATATGTGTTCACTCTCGTAGGGGGAGCTATTTCATGGAAAAGCTCAAAGCAAACCATCACTACATCATCCAAAATGTATGCCGAGTTTGTAGCGTGTTATGAGACAACGGGACAGGTGAACTGACTAAAGAAGTTCATACCCGGTTTGAGGGTGGTTGACGACATCTATAGAACATTTAAGTTATACTGCGATAATAAACCGGTAGTACAGTATGCTCACAACAATAAGTCAAGTGGTGCTACCAACCACATTGATATAAAGTATTATGTTGTGAAAGATAAAGTCCGGGATCATGTCATAAGTCTTGAGCATATAAGTACCGAAAAGATACTCGTGAATCCGCTTACAAAAGTCTTACCACCCAACGTGTTCAGAGAACATGTAGCCGGCATGGGTTTAAGGGAAATCCTATAATTCCTGGACAAAAGAAGGCTCAAAGTTAAGTATCTATTTCAGAACAGAGTGGTGTGTTGTAGCTGTTAAATCTATCGGCAATTGACCGTGATGATAAAACATGCTCTATGCGCTAATCTGTAATGGAATGAACAAAAGTAAATGATATGAAATTAAAAGATAGTAGGAGATTAAGGGAGAGATTGTTAGATTGATCTCTAATTCCAAACTGGGCCCAACGGCCCAGTTGGGGCTTTGATCCGCGCCCTGATCGGGGGTGCCCAGCCCACTATGCCTGGAGGGCCCCTGTCACACTACGCAATAAATAGAGGTGGAGGCCGACGGCTCTGTACACGAGGTTCGTCTGAGCCGAGTTCCCCATCAAAACCTAAACTCTAATCCGATCAGAGAGGGGCACAGCCAGTGACGGAAAGCCACCAGCCGCGCCGTCTCGCTCCACCGATGTCGACGATTTCATCGACCTCTTCCCCGAACATCGCTGCCCGTGCGCAGATTTCACTGACGAACGTGATGGTGGCTTCTGGATCACCCCCTGCGGTGTCAGGTTTGACACGTTCTTCCTCTATCCTCTCTCTGTCTCTCTGTCTAGAACGTGTTCTAGATCTTTTATTCATCCAGTAAATGTTTAACACCCTAGATCTACTCGTAGACGATCCTACAAGTATTAATATTTCTCTCTTAAAAATTCAGCCATACAAATCAACACCAGCGATTTTACAGCCACCCAAAAACTCCTATATCATTTTTATCCGGCCCTAACCTCGAAAACGAGCTGATTAACGACCCATCATGGTCATGGGAAACGCAGTCAGTCCAGTGACACCCCAAAATTAGGGGGCGGCAGGCGCCCGTCCTAAACGTCAACAAAGAGAAGCTCATTCCTCTCCGTCCGCTGTCTAAGTTTGCCTTCCTCGGCAAACCTCAGCCAAAGCCATCTCGAAACATGCATCGGCCACACGCACGCCATTTTGCATGCCGACCTCCACCAGACACGTACCTCTTGATCGTCCCCGCGATCCCCCCAGGCACCGTCCGCGCGCCACCGCCACCGCCGTCGCATCGCCACCGCCATGGCCACGGCGCCCGTCAAGTTCGCCGCGCTCGCCGTCGCCATAGTCGCCGCGGTCGCGCTCAGTTCCTTCTTCCGCTACCAGTGCCGCCACCGGCCGTCGCCCTTCGTCTCCACCGAGGTGCTCCGCCTCATCGTGGTGAGCAACGAGCAGGAGGTCGGCGAGGAGATGGACCTGGCCGACGGCAACGTGGAGCTGCGGTGCTACGGCTTCAGCGAGCACAGCCACAACCGGTCGGCGTGGTCGGCGCGCGCCGACATCCCCAGCGGCGCGGAGGCCAACCTGACGTTCCCCGCCGTGCACGGCGACGAGGTGTTCGAGGTGCTCTGCTCCTACCGCGGCGCCAACCGGTGCTGGGCGCACGGCGTCCGGGTGTTCGAGAACCCGGGCCACGACAACCTCTTCTGCTCCCAGCAGATCGGCGGCTGCACCGTCAGGTTCCGCAAGGATGGCGGCGTCGAGAAGGTGTACCAGACCAACGGGGAGCTAGACTTGCAGCCGCCCATCTTCATGGGGTTTGTGCCGGACTTCGACAACGCCCGGGACAGTGGATGCTCGTCGGCGAGCTGCGTTGGGAGGACGATCAACAGGGTCATAGGCGAGGAGAGCTGCTGCGACGATTCCTGCGGGGGATGGGAGAAAGCATTGCCAAAGAAATGATCCATGCTCACGCATGCATGTAGAATTCAAACTTGATCTTTTGTATAATGTAGAGCATTTTAATGGTACATACATGAATAGAAGACACTTGAAGCCAGTTTAATCGTGCTATGACTAAGATGGTGCTGAATCGATCAGAGTTTGAAACTTTGAATGTAGCAAAATTAAAAGGAAAACAAACATGTCCCGAGCCAAGAAAAAAAACGAACTTTGTGGAAACATGTAGATGATTTGTTACACCATGCATGGCCAGTAACAACCATGGTCGCCAAAGGAGTGCAACCGATTTTTTTTTTTTTGAACGTACTGGCAGGAGCTCTGCCTTTCAATTAAGATGGGATAAGAAAGTTTATGTACAAGCAAAGGTAACTAGGTTATAGTCCCCCCCCCCTTAAGTATGCGAGCTAAATGTAATCGAATGCTCTCTTCCTTTGCTCAATGTCTTCCTTAATCCTTGCGGCTACCTGCAGCACCGTTTGACTCATATTGTCGAAAATTCTCCTGTTTCTCTCTTTCCATATATTCCAAAAGGTGTAGATAGCTACTCCGTTAAGCCTACGACGCTCCGCTCTTGGCGCTTTTGCCGCCGCGTCTTCCCACCATGACTTGATATTGGTGGGGTTTGCATTTTGCTGTTGTTGGATTTGAGTGAAGTTTTCCCATGTGAGGATTTGATTCCAAATCGCCTTTGCAAAAGGGCAACTAAGGCATAGGTGGAGGCTTGTCTCTAAAGGTCCATTGCACATCACGCACTGTTGTTGGTGAGGCCACCCTCTTTTTTGTAGGTTTTGTGCCGTTAGAATTTTGTCTTGTACTAAGATCCATGCGAAGATCTTGCATCTGTTCTCCACATGCGCTTTCCAAATCAAGTCCGTACCAAAGTGGAGGAGCGAGCCTCTGAATTGTATTCTGTAGGCCGATCGGGTGGAGTAATTCCCATCATTGGTCCAACGCCAGGTGATGGTGTCCTGGACGCCCTGTTGCAGGTGCACATCCTGTATGCGTATCCAGAGGGACACAAACTCCTCTATGTGGATGTGCGAGGTGATTTTCCTTCCAAGTTTATGCATCCAATTGTTGTTTCGGAGCTCTTGCTGCACCGTTCGGTTTGTCCTTGAGAGCAGGCGGAATAAGTTGGGGGCTAGGTACTTGGGAGCTTGATCATCGAGCCAACTGTGGTGCCAAAACTTTGTCTTTGCACCATCCCCCAAGGAGTGCAACAGATGAAACTTAAATAGACGCATTTGCAATACTGTCACTGGAGCATTTGCTAAAAATCAAACCTTGGACACAGCCAATGTCTACATAACAACAGGACATGAGGTATCAACCAGATTGTAATGATGTGCTTGACATTGCAATTCTAAGCTGTGGCAGTGGAAACAAAGCAAGTATCTTAAGTAGTACTCTCCTCAAAACTGAATAATCAAGCAAAATTTAGAACAAAACTCGCAATTGCATCAATCCAGGGTCCAGCGCAGCCATATGAATGACTTCTGCTTAATCAGAGTCTTCATAGACACCCTCATCATCAGAAAGCTCATCAAAAGAACGGATGTCCAGTTGATAGCGCAACATGCCACCAATGCCACCAAATCCTCTGCAAAACTGAGATCCTTCTTGAGATTTGTTGGTAACAAATTCCAGTGTGCACCCAAACTTTTTGTACTCATTGGCAAACCATTCCAAGAGTGAGGTTTTCTCCTGAACCTCCAACTCAGCATTGGTAGACGGATCACGGAAATGACTCTGGTCAGCTTCTTGCTCTTTGTTCAGATGTTTAATAACAGTTTCTCCAGTTGCACTATTCTTAAGCACATATCTGTTGACATCAAGGTTTTCCCACACTATCAGTGTTTCCACAGCACCCATTTCAAGGGCTTTCAGTGTGTCATCAACACCAAACACATACTTCCCCGTATCTTGACTAATTTCTTCAAAATACTTTCCAATCAGCTTTTTCTCTTGTATGAACTTCACATTTGCTAGAATTTCAGCTGACAACTCAATAGCTTGGTTAAAACCATTCTCCCCACCATATGAAACATCAACAACGTTAAGTATTTTGGCCTGGAGACGTTGATCAAACATGTCAGATTGGCTCAATTCTGTCTTAAAATCAGCAGAACCAGCCAATATAAGTCCAGCAACATTAGGCTGACTGGTAGCTGGATTGATGAAAAACTGTGTAGCAAGTTCAGCTGTCTTTCGCACATAATTATGACGTTTTTCCATCCGAAGCCGAGCAAACCGAAGAGCAGATTGTCCTCCTCTTCCATGCTTCTTTGGGAGATCAACAGTGAATTTGTGAAGCACTTCACGAGTACTGCCACTCAGTGTACCAAAAAGAGTTCCATTACCATCCATAACAATGAAGCCAAACTTGTCATCAGATTCCAAGAGTTCATTCAAAGCTTCAGTGTGGAACTTATTGTCACAAAGGTACAAGGATGCATTGATAGGCCTGAAGGGCTCAAAATCAATAGTAACTTTCTTTTCCTTGCCATCTTCAGTAACAATTGTTCCAGTGTAGAGAACAAGTCCATTTGGGGGAACCTTGTTATACAGCTTCAGCCTCTGCTGAGCTGAGGTGATGGCTGCTAAAACAGATTGCCGATTGACTCTACTCTTAATGTTTGAAGCAGTACCATATTCATCACCCAACATCTTGGTCACACGGGAAATTTGGTCACGTGGTGGCATAATCAGAGAGATCATGCTGGTGCCATTGCCTCTAGCAGCTTCCAATGCCTTGATCAACTTCTTGATCTTCCAAATCTCGATGTTCTTGTCAGTTTCCTGACCGTCAGACATCTTGGTGAAAGCACAGTACTTGAATCACCCTGCAGAATACCAGATGTGAAGACCAAGGGCATCAGATAAAGAGAGGAATATAGAAGCTGGCAAGCGTAAGTGATTGAATGTAAGCATATTACAAATAGAGTAATACCAAAATGAGAGTAAATAGTGGTAGTACATTAAGCACAGCTGTTTCCTATAAAAAGAGAGTGGTTATATCTAATGTCATCCAAGGACAGATTCGGATACAGTAGCAAAAAAATAGTATACCTCAAACCGGAGACCAATATTTAAGTTATTGACATATATTCTTCATTAAGTTGTGCAAACTGCACTGAGTTATGATTGTGGTCACATGAAAATTACTATCTAATATTCACAAATGTACCACAGAACCAAGCCACACACAAATTACCAAAGTAACGAGGAGCCTTATGTTCTATGGTGCCAATACAAATAAATAACTACATATGACAGCATTAAAGCAGCATAATGTTATGCCTAGGTGGCTTTTGCAGCGTCTTTATGCAGGTGCTAGTTGTGTTTGGCTGGAACTTGGTAGCTTTGCGTTGGTGATTGTAAGTCTGTCTTAGATACTGTGTCTGCTTTCTTTCTAAACTGTCTCCAGAACGCTGTATTTCCGTTAGCGATAATGGAAATGGGATTACCTCCGATTCAAAAAAAATATGACAGCATTAAATATTGTATTGTAAAACCAGGGGGCTAACTAAACAAATAAAAAACTTTAAGGTAATAAACAAATTCTAGCAACACTTTAGGGGGTAAATAGACTTCCTATGAATAATTTCAGAGCTGATGCTACACACACTAAACTATTAAACCGCTGGAGTGAGGGATAAACGCACACCGGTTATCGGTAACGGTATCCATCAAATCAAAGGAGAAAAAAAGGTAGAAAAAAAGGTAGAGACTATCCATAAGGCAACTGTAGGTACTTACTATGAATTTTTGTCGGATGTCTATATATAATCATTCAACATGTGTGAAAAATCTTATATATTGGATCATTCAACATGTGAGAAAAATCTTATATATTGGATGATTATATATAGACACGTGGCATGAATCTACCCACGGCTGTCTCATGGGGATAGTCTCTACCTCTTTTTTTCTCTTCTATAGGCCTGTTTGGTAGGCTGGCTCAAGGACTCTGGCTCTAGCTTCTAATGTAGAGCAGTTTTTTCATGCTTATGAAGTTATTTTGAAAAACGTTTGGTAAAAATAGCTCTAATAACAATTTTATAATAATTTGTATTAGATTTGTGAGGAGCAGCGAGGAGAAACCATTTGTTTCGGCTCTGTTATAAAAAACAGCTCCGGCTCCTCCAAGCACCTTGCAAGGGCTGGAGTTGAAGCCCTGCCAAACAAGATCATAGTCTAGTGTAAACGGTTAAATATGGGCTTCAGGAATTTTGTCTTTTAGTGAATATGAATCTAAAATTTGTCATTTTTGTATGAATTTTTGAAATACGAGTTTGTATCTCAATTTTTTTATGTGAGCACATATTTATATGCACTATGGATGTGTCAAGTTTCAAACAAAAATTGAGTGGTCAAAATACTTTTTTTAATTGGTTTCTAAATTTTCACCCGGCAGATGTAAGTTGCCGGTGCAGACCGGGTCTGATCGAGCGAAGGTCTTGAGAGGCCATCGATAGTGTATAAAGTCAACCTTAAGCAGAGGTGACGTGTTTAAGGCTAAGTTATTGTTACCTACTCCATCCATCCTAAATTATAAGTCAATCTAAGTATCTTGAAAGGTCAAAACATCTCAAGTTTAACCAAATTTATATGATAAGATAATAACATTTATGATACCAATTAAGTATCATTAGGTTATTCACTAATTATATTTTCATAGTATATCTATTTGATGTCATAAATTTTTATAATTTTTTTTAGAATTTTGGTTAAACTTGAGATGTTTTGACTCTCTAAGATTCTTAGAATGACTTATAATTTGGGATAGAGAGAGTATAACTGTATAAGATCTAAATAAACTAACGGAACGAACATATTAGTTAAAATAAATATAAATCCTTATTTTCTTGTTTTCGTTATCGTATATGGCAGGCAACAGTAACATATAAGCCTAAGAAACCTTTTTGCTCCAACCCCAAGCCCGTGTTTGCCAGCGTTGGTGCTTTCCTCAGCCAGACAGCCTGCCACTGCAACTAGAGGTCGAGACTTGAGAGCTCTTAACTAGTGCATGGAAGCCATGGCAAAGCTCTATGTTACCAAAAGGGTATATCACTCGAGACTTGAGAGCTCTTAACTAGTGCATGGAAGCCATGGCAAAGCTCTATGTTACCAAAAGGGTATATCACTCCTTTTCAACAGTAACGGGAGTCCAAGAAAACAATAGCTCAACATAGTGCAGGAAACAGCTCCACATCTCAGCTTAGTGCAGGAACGAAGACGGTATTGCAGTAGACGTTTCTAGAGTCTTGCATCATCTTCATATACTAATATACAAGTCCAAGTCCAACTTAAATGGATGCATGGAATATGACATAACAGGAACACACGCCACACGCCATAGTAAAACTGCACTTGCAATTAGGGTATGCAGCAACAAGGCAGCCTGCAGTAGGTAAAAACACATTAGAGTCCAGACCTACGTCTGCTTGTAACAGCAGACAACAGCAAAATTTGCCAGATTCACACTCGGTAATCCGCTAGTACTTGTGAGAGAGATAAACTCTGAATAGTATATGTTAATCAATCACAGATTACAAGGCACAACTGGATTCATGTTCTTTGCCGAGTGCCTGAGGCACTCGGCAAAGGCCAAATTGCACTCGGCAAATCATTTGCCGAGTGCGGCACTCGGCAAAGAACACACGGCAAAAAAATTAACCGGCAAAGCCTTCTTTGCTGAGTGTCTTTTATCGGGCACTCGACAAAGGCTTTGCCGAGTGCCCCGGGGACACTCGGCAAAGAAAAGCGACTGTCACGGCGCCGGCCCCGTTGACGGTGGCTTTGCCGAGTGCCAACCCTGCAGGCACTCGGCAAAGATTTTTTTATTTTTATTTTAAATTTTTCTTTGCCGAGTGCCAACCCTACCGGCACTCGGCAAAGATTTTTTATTTTTTAAAAAAATTCTTTGCCGAGTGCCAACCCTGCAGGCACTCGGCAAAGATTTTTTATTTTTTTTAAAAAAAATCTTTGCCGAGTGCCAACCCTTCAGGCACTCGGCAAAGATTTTTTATTTTTTTTTAAAAAATCTTTGCGAAAGTGCCAACCTTCAGGCACACTCGCAAAGATTTTTATTTTTTTACAAAATTTTTTAAAAGTGCCAACTCTATTTGACACTTGGCAAAGATTTTTATCTTTTAAAAAATTATTTGCCGAAAGCGCTTCTGGCAAAGTTTCGGCAAAGTTTGGGTTTTTCTTAAAAAAAAATCTTTGTCGAGTGCCCTCTGGCCGGCACTCGGCAAAGTTTGAATTTTTTTTTAAAAAAAATCTTTGCCGAGTGCCATGGTCACAGCACTCGGCAAAGCTGGAAAAATGTAAATTTTTTTTACATTCCATCATGACAAATACATGAGCAGCAACATAGAAGATTTTTAACACTACATAAGCTGTGACTACATTGAGTATGAGGGTTGTTCTTGAGATCCTGCAAAACCATTATAAACCAAAGTACAAATTTAAAAGTGCCAACAACAGAGAATACTGTAATAAGCAATAAGGTTTGCAGCTAGCAATGTTTAGAAAGAAGGGCAGTATGCAGCAGCTCTCTTGCACCATCAATCAACCAAACTTACTTAGACATAGAGAGTGAAGCAGCAGCGCATCCTAAGATATTTAAGGCACCAGGTCTCAGCCAACATGCTCAATCATACCTGAAATGCAAGGAATAAGACCTACCTTACTCGATATAGAAAATAACAATTTGGTATGCAATCCAAAATGTGGCCTTTCTAACATAGAAGGCCACTCTATACAGAAAAGTATTACAAAATGAAATACAATTGATATATAAACTGGTTCCATTTGGATTGTATCCTACACAAATTCGCATGTACAGAACAATAGTTCTTGCTCTGTCAACTCACACATGAGATTTATCCTGAATAAAAATTCAATTACAATCTAAATGCAATTGAAAGTGTCAAAGTGATACACTGTGTCAGTAAATAGTACGTGATCTTTTGTTTTTTGCCAAAAGAGGGGCATAAATCATGATTGAGAAAGTTCTAGGGTGCTCATTTATCAAAAAGTATGCTTAAATTTCAACCTGCAACTTGTGGTCAGAACCACTGCTGCACACAAAGCTGGCAGTAGAATATGCAAGATTTCAAGGTTCTTCAATATGTGAAACCCACGGCTTGCATTGGCACTAGAAGGACAAACACTGTGTGATTTTTTTGCGAGAAAAAAGAAAGTTTACCTGCCAACCAGGATATTTTCTTTAGCAATCTTTGATAGCCCAGTTGCGTATTCAGAGTGGTCAAGAAAGCACCTGATATATACACATATAAAGTTAGTGAAATAAGAAGAAACTAACTGAACTGATGATTTTTTTTTATAATAGAAACAGTGAGTAAAGTACACAAATATTTATATAGATCTTTCTAAGGATGCATGTTTACTGGATTAATAATAATAATTGGACCAAGAGATCTCAATTCCAGAGAAGAGATGTTTTCTAGAATAGAACATATATTGGCTCGCCAGTTAGTAATTAGGTATATGTTACCATATTTATGTCCCTCCCTGTCAAATTTGGCAACAAAAAAACCAATCTGGCTCAGGCCAATAATTAGAACCCGATGATAATCTGAATCAGAATGTCCCTAGCACTATTGGTAGCAAGCAAGTAACATAGAGTTCCTTCTTTTGTACAGAAGTTTGCATGGAAGGTGTATTCTTAATTTTTCTGTGTTGTAGTCTCCAGATTACAGCTACTATCTTAAATATCATTGCTTTTGCAAGATAATTTTAAGAGTTAGAGTGGTCTGAATTTACTATCAGTTCACTAATATTTA